AGGAATAATTTGCTGTGAATAATGGATCCTTCTTCATGATCAGACCTTTATGTTGTAATATATATTAGTACAGAGTAATTGGTTAATGTTTCAGAATGGCTTTCATCTTGCATTACATTGTACTTGGGGCTGTAGTGCCACTGGTTCAGGTTGTCCAACACTTCCCATTAAAATACTGTTTTCAGTTGCTTATAACTTTACCAACATAGCACTAGAATTTTCCATGTTGTCTGAGTTTGATTATATTTTGAAAAGTTCAGCTAAAACTGCTCAGGTATTTTTGAGACTGACAAGGGGCAAATACCGTATTTTCCGGCGTATAGGGCGACTGGGTGTATAAGACGACCCCCTATCTTTTTAATTAAAAGATAGGGTTTCATCTTATACCCCAGCGCCCCTCCGCCTCCTTTGCTCCCGGTGTCCCTGGTCTGCTGGAGATGGTCCCCAGCAGACCAGAGGCACCGGGAGCAAAGCCGCCAGGAGCGCCTGGGCTGCCCCCCCCCCCCCCCCCGCCGGAGCCCCTCGGCGGCTTTGAAAGCCTCGGAGGGGCTCCGGCGGCGGGGCATCCGGCGTACAAGACGACCTCTGATGTTAAAAAACATCCCCCAAAAATCGGGGGTCGTCTTGTACGCCGGATGCCCCGCCGCCGGCTTCCCCCGAGGCTTTCAAAGCCGCGGAGGGGCTCCGGCGGCGGGGCATCCGGCGTACAAGACGACCTCTGATGTTAAAAAACATCCCCCAAAAATCGGGGGTCGTCTTGTACGCCGGAATATACGGTACTCTGCTTTCCCCAAGCTAAAAAATTCTGGCACCTTTTTCTTTGAACTGCACTAGCACCCCATTAGCACTGGAACAGGAACTTGAAATTTGGCAAATGGGTGGCCTGAGTCATGTATGTGTCTTTTGCGGTCTTGGTAAAAATCTGCCCAAATTTGGGTGACTGTTCTAATTAAACATTTGGGGAAAAAAATCAAATTGCTCATGCTCAATAGAAACTTTGATTTTTAGCAGCTAGTGTTGGAAGCATCTGTCCTCACATTTGAAGATGCCCAAACCTTTCACAACTGCTAGCTCTGACCAGATTTTTTTTATATGCCATCCTCCTAGAGTGACTGAGCGTGTTGCCTCCAGCCCAGGGCTACAGAGGGAAAGCCAGAATTTTCCTGTAATGGTTGCTCCCAGATCTTTTGGGCCTGGGTAGGCTAAGGCACTAGAACTGAGAACAGTATTCCTGTCTCTTTTGCTTTTAGAGATTTGCTATTGGCACCAATGCTGCATGGAGGAGGAAGTTACATGATTTGCATACTGAGGGGACTAATGCCAGACCAAAAGGCAGGGAAAGAAGTGGGTTGAGACGAGGAGTCAGATATGATGCAGATGTGAGGAGAAACTGGGACAGGCAGGCTAAGGAATGGGACAAGAAGTCTGAGTGGGAGAAGGAAGCAGACATTGGGAAGTAAGCCAGAGCAGAAGAGGTCAATATTGGGAGAAATTGACAGAAGAATCTGTGCTCACTAGTCTATACTCCCTTCCAGGGTCTGAGTGGAACCCAAAATGTCCCTATCAACATTTTGTCAGCCAATATCTGTGAAACCTCCTGGCAAAGAATACATCTCATTCTCTCTCTAGTGCTGGTCCACTAGAGCAGAGTCGTCTATTTTTTGTCAAGGTCCAGATTTCTTGGTCAAAGATTTTGCAGTCCATTCAAGAGTATATGCTGGTCTGGATTTGCCCCATGGGCTGTCTGTTGACTTCCTCTGATCTAAGGATGACAATCATCTGTCCGTTAGCTCAAGTGGCAGAAGTCAGTGTGGTGAATCTAAGGCTGTCTACTTTCGCGGCTTCTTGCGTGAGAAATATGCAAATGAGGCTAAGCATGGAATATCACCGAGCCTCATTTGCATACCTAATGAGCTGCCATTACACTGCCCCTTCTGGCGCACGAAAAACCCTCTTGCTCAATGCCACTACGCCGATTATTTTCAGGAATAATGGCATTGCGCAAGAGGGTTTTTGTTGCGCAAGAAGGGGCAGTGTAGACAGCTCCTTCTGGCGCAAGAGCCTCTTCTGCAAAAATGGTGGCTCATTAGGTATGCTAATGAGGCTAAGCGATATTCCATGCTTAGCCTCATTTGCATAATTCTTGTGCAAGAAGCCACGAGTGTAGACATGCCTAAAGGTTCCAACTTTATCGATGACCCACATAAGCATCAGATTGACATCTACATGATGGATTTTGGTTTTTTTTTAAAACCTAATAAATTACAAATGTGTGCACATTAAAAGAACAGTATTCATATTTCAATGTCAAGCACTCAGGTAGCCTGAATTCTGATATTTCTGAAGTTTTGAGTGCACCTGAAAATGCAAAGAGGCAGTCTTCCAAGTATCACTAGATGCCTGAACACCAAAACCCTACTAAGCATCTCTCTGCATCTTTAGGCACATACAAACTTTTTAAAAACTGGTCCTCAATTTGAGTATTTAAGCCATATATGAGATTTAGCTTAAATGTTGCAGTCCTTTCTCAAGCAAAGCTCCCATAGAGATAACTTTAGTGCATTTTGTCCAAGTGGTAATTTCAGGATATGGCGTATTATTGTTTTGATTACCTGGATCATGGCATGGTGGTGAGCACCACCGAATGCCCATAAACAAATTTGTTTCTGTAACTCTAGATTAACCTTGTTGCCTCTTCTGTCTGCCAGGATTGTAGGGATGATGTTGGTGGAGCCCAGAATGCTGGCATGTTAGGTATTTTAGTAAAGACTGGTAAGTACCGTATGGATTTTGACAATTCGTGATAAATTTGTTCACTGAAGTAGAGGGGGTTCAAATAACTCCATCACATAACTAATCAGTTGCAAAATTAGGTTGGGGTTTTGGTCAAACCACCTCTGGGGGAATCTAAATAGAGTCTTAAATGAATGTCAGCCTAACGCTGCAAAGATCATCTGTGATGCATTAGGTCAAGGAGTATGCCAAGTGGTGACGCCTTTTAAAGGGCTTTGTTTGTGAAACACATGTGATAGGAGCATCTGACAGAATCTGTTTTAGCTACAGGGAAGACTAGGCTGGCTGGACAGCCAAAGCAGCTTTTAAAAAGCACCTTTTTGTTCTTTTATTTCAGGTAAATATCGAGCAGCAGATGAAGACAAAATTAAACCAGCTCCTTACCTAACCTGTGAGAGTTTCCCACAAGCAGTAGACCATATCCTACAACATCTGCTATGAGAGAAGCATTTAGTTTGGAGAAACTTGACTCTGTCTTGACATTATTGCCTCTTTCCTCCTCACAAAATAAAACTCAAAGCACTATGTGCAATCAGGCCATGAACATGTCTCGCTGCAAAGCACTGAAAGGAAATGATACTAATATGCAACCCAGTGGCAAAGCATTGGTAAAACTCTCCTGCTGTCCTGAAGATGGAACACAGTGTGGAAAAGAGGTCTCAGGTATGCATCAGGTCAGATGGCAGGAGGAAGGAAACCAACCAACAGAAAAAATAATTTGCTTTCTTGTATTATGCAAGGATATGAGGGAAGTTCACATAGAGTCTTTGTTTTTGACTATTTAAAAGTAACTGTTTAAAAAGTCCATCAGAAATGTACAAGATAGTAACCATCAACAAAGCATAATAGCCTTTTTTAGCCTAAATGATATGTCTGTATGTTTGTTTTAGTTACCATGTGTCTTCTCTCTGCTGTGATATGACTAATTTAAATGTCGAGATGATACACATTAGGAATGACTTACAGTTTAGGGTAGTATCATTATTAATAGCCATCCCTGCTGATTTCTCTCCCTCATTTCAACCAGGTAACAATTGTTTGAATTTTATATAAAATTTGAAAAAAACAAACTATCAGTATTTTACAGATGTTTTAATTAGATACCGTTATTAACAGGAATGGTGTAGAAACAAAAATATGGTCCTTAATGGCTTTATAGGTCATGAATTTTTGAAGTTAGACTTCAGCAGGGTCCTATTAACTGTGCAGTTGTAAGGTTTTTTTTTTCCTTTTTAATGCTATGAGAAAAATCCTTCAAAACCCATGGGACCGCTTCAAGCTTTTAAGCACTTGGTTAATACAGCTGTAAAATGAAATCTCATTCTGTAGCATGCATTGTTCTTTCTGCATGTGTGAAATCCACCAAAATGAACTAACTTTGTAATGATGGTAAATGGCTTTCCTGGTCCATTTGCAAGCTGTAATAATCAAAGTCCTTTCCAGTTGTTTTACAGTGCTCCTATGTGTTAAATTATGAGACTGTAATTGTACATCATTGTTGTACTCACCTTATTGAAAATATAGTTGTATTACTAAGCCACACTGCTTCTAATTGAGAAAAAATATCATAATGAATATGTAGCAGCAGGCTCAATCTAAAGAAAGAAGCTTTACCCACAATCTTTGTGGCTGGTTACATTTCACTTGGAGTGAATTTCAGCAAGCTGTGCCTTGGACACAGCAAGCCGTGCCTCTTTGGTTGTGAGGCTGTCTCTTTGGTCTGTATTTGGGGATTTGAAATTACTTCTGCAAATGTGGTTGAGTTTAGTGACTCCAATCCAACCTCTCATTTCCTCTTCCCAAAATCTTGTGAAAGTCAAGGACTATATAGGGTAATAGAGCCCCTCCCTGAGCCACCTAAAAGATCTGCCTCCCTTACCTAATACACAGAGTGATGAGTAAATTCAGTCAGCCAACCACTCCCTGGGTGTGTCTACACTGGGCCACTTATTCCGGAAAATCAGCCGCTTTTCCGGAATAAGCCGCGAGCTGTCTACACTGGCCCTTGAATTTCCGGAAAAGCAACGATGCTGTACTGTACAAAATCAGCCGCTATTCTGGAAACCGTACGATGCTCCCGCTCGGGCATAAGTCCTTTTTCCGGAAAAGCTTTTCCGGAAAAGGGCCAGTGTAGACAGCTTTTCCGGAAAAGCAGAA